GGCTCTAAGAACAGGTTTGAAAGCTTTTGCAGCTAGTTGCAGAAATCCCATGTCCCTGAGGGTCTGGTGGCCTGGTGACAAGTACAGTGGGTGGACCTAGCTTGGCTGCTCCAGAAGGGCTCCTCACCCCGGATTTAACCCCGGAACTGGGTTAAATAACAGGCGATTGGATTGGCTCGTGGTTTTCCCCAGCTTCATTACTCCGATCAGCAATGGTCTTGTCACTTTTCCTCCCCCTTCTCCCCCCACCCACCCCGAGACACACATACCTTGTGGCTTTATTTTAAGGAAGTGTCGGTAAAGTCGAAAGCGAGCTATGATACAATACCAATTAGTAAAGGTGTTTCCTGCCGGATTTCCTTTTCAGAAGCAAGACCAGGTGGTTGAGAAGCATCAACTTGTTGCATGATCTCTGTTCATCTAGAATCTTAAGTTCTGTAATAATGACTCTTATCAAGGACCATGCCCTTGGCAATGCCCAAGGGGACCTGGATGGGGGAAATGAATGTCCTCACTCATTTCAGTAAACATTATTGGGTAGACGCAACCAGAGGCAGAAAGCAAGACCACATCCCAGAAGCTTAGATGTCACGGGCTCTAAGAAGATCCAGAAACATCCTGAAAGGATCTATTGAATTCAGACCAAAATTCTCCTCTCCCTTAGAGTGACCAGTCTAGATCCTTTTGGGAAAATCTTTGATAAAATACAGTAGGTGAGGGGTTCCAAAAATGCAGGCTTGGAGTGAGGAGCCTATGGGGTGTGGTCATAAAAGCCATAGCAAGTGTTGGCTTGGCCTTCAGAGGGGACCAGTGGGCCTGGCACTTGATTCAAGACCGATGCTGCAAGATGGCAGGAGCAGCCGCTTCTCACCTTCGTCCACCACCTGTTGGCAGCGGACTGAGCCCTTGGCAAGTCCCAGACTCCATGGTCCTGCCGGCTGTCCTAGGGCCAGACGGCTCTGTAAACGGCAGCCCAGCCCTGTGACTGCATCTGGAGGCATGATTTCCTCATTGCTGGAGTCGGCTTCAAGTTCAAAGATCACCACAAAATCCCCTGTGGTAGCAGCTTGCTGCTGGATTTATCCTTTGTGGTTGGTTGATGAGCTTCAGATAGCTTTGGTGGCCGTCGCCTCCGGGCCCAGTCAGCAAGGAGTGTCAGCCGGGCCGTGGGTTGGGGGGAGGCGCCCTCGGACCGGGTCGCTCTGCCGGGTGCTGCAGTGCAGCGGGGCCGCCCGGGGCTGGAGCCCTTGGTCTCCGATTCTGTCCTGTGCCTGACCTTGTCATGAAAGCCTCAGATGACGCCCCTGCACGTGAGCCTGCAGGGGGGTGGGGGCTGGTTAGGGGGTCTGAGCCTCACACTCCTCCCAGGAGCAGGGGGGGGCCCTGCTGCTGTTCATGTACCAATCCCTCCCCATCCCTTCAAAGCCCGGGTTCAGCTGGGACGAGCCCTGCCTCAGGCGGGTGGGGGGACCCGGCCCACTGCCGTGCCCTCCTGACCCCAGGGCCGGGCCCGGGCCCAGTCTGCATCTAATAAAGGCCACTTGCCAAGCTGAGCACTTGAACCTCCCGTGATGCCCACGACGGCCCGTGGAGTAAGTGCGGTTGTCTGTGCCACCTCCCAGGTGGAGACGCCGAGGCCGGGGTAACTGGCCAAGCCCCTCACGCACACACTGGAAGTGGAGTCCGAGTCCAAAGCAGGGGTGTGTGTGCGTCCACTGTGCCCAGGCAGCGGGGGGCGAAGGCCCAGGGGGAGAAGAAATGCCCAGGGGTGGGCCTTGAGTGTGTCCTGAGCCCTCTCCCCATCGCAGGCACCCGGATCCCTTCTGACGGGGCCTCCGGGCTCATCCCGGACCCAGCCAGAGCCCAATCCTTGTCCGGTTTTCTGAGAAACCGAAGCGGCCCTCCAGCCACCCGGACTTCTGCCTGCAGACACCTGCTGCAGTCTCGGCCTCCACCTCTCCCAGCCGAGGGCCCGGTGCCGAGGGCTGGCCCGGCACACCCCTGGACTGCGATCCAGGCTGTCCTCACCTGGGGAGGGGCAGCAGGAGGCCTTTAGGTCACACTTGGGAGAGAACGAACAGTGGCTGACGGTCCCCGTCCTGGAAAGCTCTAGATTCCCTCCCTCCACAAGACCGAGGGGGGTGCGGGGGGGGGTACTCCTAGGCCCCAGGCTGTGGTGTCCAACCGCACCCCCTACCCCGCTCAGCCTGTGTCCAGGGCCCAGCCCGGGGGTTTCCTGGTGGAGGAACTAGCCGGCCCGGCCCGTGTGGGGAGGCCTGGCGGTGCGGACGGTGGTGGCAGGAAAGCTGTGAGGGCCCACAAGGCCGGAGGGAAAGCCCTGCCTCCCTCCCCGCCCGGCCCACTTGAGAGTCCCTCTGGGGTGTTCGTACGGGCCGACTCCTCCCTCGTGAATCCCCAGTGGCGTTCATCATCCACATGTTCGAGGGCAGAGCAGGGGAGCCCAGTGCTCGGGAGCATGGTCCTGGGGTCCAGGCGGCCTGGGTTCAAATCCCAGCCCTTCCCTTACTAGCCGCCACAACCTGCAGACGGCTCTGTGCCTCGGTTTTCCCATCTACAAAGTGGGGGAAAATAATAGTACCTATCGGACAGCCTCCTTGTGATAAGATGTTCAGAAACACAGAGGCCTCCCGACCCAGGGCAGGCCCCTCCTGCCCGCCATGAGGGGAAGTGGGGGGCATTCTGGGCTGCTCTAATATGCTGCTGATGGGGAACAAGATACCGGCTTCCTTGTTAGAACTGGATAATCACCAAACTGTACACTTTTGTTTTCAGTATATTTCACAATAAAAGTTAAAACTTTTTCAAAATTTGAATCTCCCCGCTAAAAAAAAAAAAAAAAAAAAAAACTTTTCTCCGTTCATCCTCTCCTTCACTTTGCTCATCCCCTCTTTTCTTTTTAACCCTTTGATCACTAGCTTGTCTCACCCATAAATGAAACTTAGTCCCCTCTCAGCTTCCCAAAGGCTCTGAGCCTGAGGAGCTACAGAGGTCCCTGCCGGTGACAGCAGGACTTCTCTTGGGCTCGCAGTGTGCCCTGGATGTGACCGGCTGTGGGTGCCCCAGGAGGAGGTCCGGTCTGGGGAGGCCACTGCAGGGAAGTGGCAAGGTGGCAGCTGACAGCTGGTGACAGCACCACGCAGCTGGCTGCCGGGCCCATTACTGTTACGCAAAAGTGGAAAGGCCACTGAAGAGAGGGAAGGAAATGCCGAGGCCGCAGTCGCAGCTGCCCCTCCCCACCATTCCCCCCACCCCCGCCCTCCGTGCGCCCAGGTGAGCCGGGCTGGGGCCCCTGCGGGGACTTGGGGCAGCACCACGGGCCAGGGGTGGCAGATGCCAGCGCTCAGGGTGCTTGGTGGCTGCAGGGCCCCCCTCCCCCAACTCCCTGCCAACAGGCACAACCACCCACCACGACCTGTCTCATCCTCATTTTCTTTTTTTTTTTAATATATTTTATTTATTCACTCATGAGAGACACACAGAGAGAGAAGCAGAGACATGGGCAGAGGGAGAAGCAGGGTCCGTGCAGGGAGCCCGATGTGGGACTCAATCTCTGGTCCAGGGATCATGCCCTGAGCCAAAGGCAGATGCTCAACCGCTGAGCCACCCAGGTGTTCCTCATCCTCATTTTCTAACCATCACCCAAGTACAAGGCACCCACAGAAAAGGGCCGCGTGGCCCCGCAGGCTGGGGCCGCCGCGGTCTCCAGAGTGAGCACCTGCTGACCGGGGGAGGGCACCCAGCCGGGGACGCCGCCCTGCCTTCATCCGTGGACACGTGGTCCACACGGCACCCCAGCTGCTGAAGGGTGCTCCGTCCGCCTCCTCTCCTGTCCCCTCCTGTCTGGCAGCTCCTCGCAAGGCTGGCCGCACCCAGCGCTGGTGACCTCCCAGTGACCACAGGCGACGTGCCGAGCAAACCTCTCAGAGCAGAGGGCATGACCCCTGCATCTCGTAGGCAAAACCAAGAACCACCGCCAACCTGACCGGTGAGATGCCAGGCTTTGGCTCCTCTGCTGGATGCCACCTCACCCCCGGGAGTCCAGGGGGACCCGGGCTCAGAGGGCTGGTGGCCTCTCCGTCTTGGAATCTGTGCATCTGGGCCACCAGCAGATCCACCGACCTAAGCCCACAGCCAGACTGCCTGGGTCTGTGACCTTCGGACCAGCTCCACGACCTCGGTAGGCCCCAGCCCCGCCCTCCGCTCACCCACTCGCACGCGGCTCCCTCACCTCTGCACCCCATGTCCCCTCTCGCCTGTCCCCACCACCACTGGGCCCCAGTTACGCCCCTGCAGACATGCACCTGGTGCTCTCCTGCTCCCACGGAGGCGCTGGTTCACTCAGGGACCGAGCGGCCACCACCCAAGTACGTGTGCAGCGCCCCCTGCAAGCCAGTGGCCAGGCCAGGCCCGGGCTCTCAGGGCTCACTCCTGCTGAGGAGAGACACTGTGAAAACACACAAAACGAATAGGCAGGACGTGAATTATAGTCAGCGCTCTGGACCAAAACGAAAGGATTGGGGGGGCATGAAGTTTTGCCATTTTGCATGAAGTTATCAAGAAAGGCTTCTTGGAGGAGGCGCCATCTGGGCACAAGCCTGAAGACAGGGAGGGAGTTGGGGACATGTGGGCGGTGGTCCAGGTGGCCCCCCAGCTGCAGAGCCTGGCAGGAAGGGAGCAGAGGAGCCCATGTGGCTGGTCCTCAGGTGGCCAGGGAGGGAGGGAAGGATGGGCACCCTCCCCCCCGCTGCGGGCTCAGAGACCCTGGGGAGGACCAGCCAGGGCTCCTGGCCACATGCCTGCGTGAGGCCGCCCACGGCCACGCCACGGGAGTCTGAGGAATCCCAGAAAGTGAAAGAAGAAGCAGAGCCCTCCCTGCCCCTCCACCCCCAGCCCTGCCAGACCCAAGTGACTTCCTCTTTCCACCCCATTTAAGGCCCAGCTGGGAGCGCCCCACAGGAGGGGAGGCCCCGCAGCCCAGCCATGGGGGACACCTTCATCCGCCACATCGCCCTTCTGGGCTTCGAGAAGCGCTTTGTCCCCAGCCAGCACTACGTGAGTAGCCACCCCAGCACCCCGGCCCTGGCGGGAGGGCAGGGGCCTGGCCCCAGTCGGCTGCCCTCCTGGCTCCCCCGCCCCCCCAGGACTCCCCTGTTGGCGCCCTAGCCCTGCAGGGCGCTCCTCGCGCAGCCCTCCCCATCCCAGCTCCAGGCAGTGCTCCTCCAGGAGCAGCCAGCTGTCCCCGGGGGCTGTGGGGTCCCTTACATTACGTGACCCTGCCGAGCGGCCACCCCACCCCGTCCTGGGAGGCTGGGACGTGTCTGCCCAGACACATCCACCCCACCCCACCCCAGGGTGCCCCAGGCCAGAGGAAGCCCAGGGAGGAACTCTGCTTGGTCAACTGTACGGTGTTTGTAGGGCGCTTTTAGCATCCTATGCCGAGACTTTTCTTCTTGTTCACTTTTAATTTTTAAGTAATTTCAAACTTAGATAAACTACCAATAGCTCCAACATTCCTTCACCACCACATCTGTACTCCCTGTCTCTCCCCTTCCCTGTCCCCCTCTTCCCTCCCTCCCTCTCTCTTCTCCCCCCCACCCCCAACTCTTTCTCTCTCTGAATGGGACTTTTCTGAATCATTTCAGAGCAAATGGGAGACATTGTGTTTCTTTACTCCTAAATACTGCTATGTATTTTTTTAAAGATTTATTTATTTATTTGAGAGAGAGAGATTGAGAGAGAGAGAGAGAGAAGCAAAGAGAATCTCAAATAGACTCCCACGCTGCGTGCCTGGGCTCAACCTCACCACCCTGAGATCATGACCTGAGCGGAAACCAAGAGAGCCACCCAGGCGCCTCTCTACTGTGTATTTCTTAAAATCAAGGACATTCTCTTACACCACAGTGCAAATATGTTAACATCAGCAAATTAACGTGGGTGAAACACTTGTTATCCAACCCATGGACTTCACTCAGATTTCACCTGTTCCCCTACTTGTCCTCTGTAGTAAAAATATTCCAGGTCTGGGATCCAACCCAGGACCACCTGCTGCATTTCACTTATTGTGACTCTTCAGACTTCCTTAATCTGGGTCAGTCTTTTGTTGTTGTTGTTTAAGTTTTATTTATTTCAGTCATCTCTATACCCAACATGGGGCTCGAACACATGACCCCGAGATCAAGCATCACGCCCTCCTCCAACTGAGCCAGCCAGGTGCTCTTGGGTCAGACTTAATGTTTCTTTGTTCTTCTCAACTTTGCCATTTTCAAGAGCTGGAGCCAGTCGTTTTGTAGGATGTCCCCTCTACAAAAAGTTTTGTCCAACCCTTCTTCGTTAGATTGGGGTCATGTGCCGGTGGCAGAACTACCCCAGAAGTGACACCGTGTTCTCGCCGATCCTATCAGGCGGCAGGCGACTTTGCTGGTTCCTGTGTTGGTGATGCTAGTTTCGATCACTAAGTGTCTCTACTGTAAAGTTACTATTCTCCCCCTTGTGATGAATAATTAACCTGCGGGAGATTCTCTGCAACTATATGCAGCTCCTGTTCCTTCCACAGTATGTGGATGACTCTTGCCCAAGTCAAATTGCTATAATGATTGCCAAATAGTGATTTTTAAACTCTACTGTTGCTTCTGCCTTTAGTAGCTAACATTTTACCGGTAAAGTTCTTCCCCTCTTCCTACTGACTTGTGTCAGTGTGGACGTGTGGATTTCTCTTTTATTCCATGGGCTATCATCCGTCACTGTCGAAACTCATCTTATGCTCCGATCGTCTCGGAAGGGGCCAGTGGGAGCCCCTTCAAGCTGGCTCCCTGTGCTCTTTGGACATAGCCTGGCATTCTCTGAGCACATTCTTAACTTCTGGAACGAGAAGCTCCAGCGGACCTGCTGCTCGCCAGCCGGAGCCCTGGACTCGACCACTGCACTAAGGACGTCTGTTTCTTTGCAGTGGGGGGCGGTGTCAGAACCCTAGATCTCAACGCTGAGTGTGCTCATTGCCTCTGAGGTCCTTTCAGACTCGGGGAAAGAGCGATTCCATCTCATTCTCGTTACTCTGCTTTATGTTTGCAGAGCCTGTCTCTCCACGAGAACCCTGGCCGCCCACTCCATTAACAGCTTTACCCCTTTGCTCGGTCCTGCAATCCACACGAGCTTGTTTTTTTTATTTTTTTATTTTTTTTTTATTTTTATTTATTTATGATAGTCACAGAGAGAGAGAGGCAGAGACACAGGCAGAGGGAGAAGCAGGCTCCATGCACCGGGAGCCCGACGTGGGATTCGATCCCGGGTCTCCAGGATCGCGCCCTGGGCCAAAGGCAGGCGCCAAACCACTGCGCCACCCAGGGATCCCCACACGAGCTTGTTTTATCACAATGACGGCATCCGCACCATCAGAACAATCAGCCTACAAACCTATGAAGTCAATTCTAAGTTTTCTTTGCAGTTTTTTTTTTCTCCTTTTGGATTGAGGGTAGAAATACTGTAAAAGTTACTTGGATTTTTTTTTTCCTTCTCCAGTTTTCTTTAATATGGTTGTGACCCATTTGATAGTGAAGTTCATTTGTTTTCATTTGTTTCCAATTTAAAGTCTTAAAAAAAAATCCTTGTTGATCTAATTTTATTTTTAAATATGTAATATATTAACATGTTTGAAATGATCCAACATCAGGCAGCCCTGGTGGCTCAGCGGTTTAGCGCTGCCTTCAGCCCCGGGTGTCATCCTGGAGTCCCGGGATCGAGTCCCACGTTGGGCTCCTTGCATGGAGCCTGCTTCTCCTTCTGCCTGTGTCTCTGCCTCTCTCTCTGTGTCTCTCATGAATAAATAAATAAAATATTTTAAAAAAATGAAATGATACAACATCAAACTTTATAAAAAGATGTGCTCAGAGACTCATTTTGGTTTATCTTTCCTATATTTCTCTTTGCAAAGATAGAGAGAGAGGTGGGCAGCAGGGGGGTAGGGGGGGTGGAAGGGTACACAGAGCCACCTGGCTGGCTCAGTCCATGGAGCATGAGACTCTTGATCTTGGGGTTGTGAGTTCAAGCCCCACATTGGGTGTAGAGATTGCTTAAAAATAACATCTTTTTATTTTTATTTTTATTTTTTTAAATTTAAGAGAGAGAGAGAGCACATGATCAGGGGGCAGGGGGAGAGGGAGAGAATCTCAAGTAGATTTCTTTTTTTTTTTTTTAAATTTTTATTTATTTATGATAGTCACACAGAGAGAGAGTGAGAGGCAGAGACACAGGCAGAGGGAGAAGCAGGCTCCATGCACCGGGAGCCCGACGTGGGACTCGATCCCGGGTCTCCAGGATCGCGCCCTGGGCCAAAGGCAGGCGCCAAACCGCTGCGCCACCCAGGGATCCCTCAAGTAGATTTCATACTGAGTGTGGAGTCTGATACAGGACTCCATCTCACGACCCTGAGATCATGACCTGAACCAAAATCAAGAGTTGGAAGCTTAACTGACTGAGCCACCCAGGCGCCCCTAAAAATAAAATCTTTAAGAAGGAAGGAAGGAAGGAAGGAAGGAAGGAAGGAAGGAAGGAAGGAAGGAAAAATATAATTTTCTTGGGTGCCTGGCTGGTTCAGTATGTAGAGCACGTGACTCTTGATCTTGGAGTTGTGAGTTTGAGTCCCACATGGGACATAGAGACTACTTAAATAAATAAAACTTCAGGGGCACCTGGATGGTTGGGCAGTTAAGTATCTGCCTTCAGCTCAGGTCATGATCTTAGGGTCCTGGGGTGGAGCCCCACGTCGGGCTCCCTGCTCAGTGGGGGATCTTGCTTCTCCCTCTGCTGCTCCCCCTGCTTGTGCTCTGTCAAACAAATAAATAAAATCTTTTTAAAAAATAATAAAATAAAATCTTAAAAAAAGAGAAACTAAAAGCTCACTTTTACTCCTGTAGTTTGAAATACCACTTTTATCATATTTTAAATTTCCATGTGTACTTGGATAGATTTCTAGATTTTGTATCCTATTCCACTGAGGTTTTTTTTTGTTCACACACCACTAGTATACAATTGTTGTTTTTTTAAATATTGTGATATATATTTTTGCATGCTCCCCTGAGCTGGCCAGGTGCCCCTATTTTTTTCTTTCACTGTAAAATTAATATAAAATGAAATCCACAAGTCTTAGAGGTACATTTGCTGAATTTCGATGGTATATGTCCCTACATAACCCTCATCAAGACATAGATTACCATTGCCCCAGGTCCCCTCCCTCCACCAACCCCCAGAGGCCACCACTGTTCTGATTTTTCCCCCTTTACTTGGTTGCACTTGCTCTAGAACGTCATAGAAAAGGAATCCTACCATGTATCTTCTTCCACTCAGCATAATGCTTTTGAACTTCATCTGTGTGGATGCACCTGTCAGTGATTTGTTCTGTTTTGTGGCTCAGTATAATTCTCCTGGCTCTATCTTGGTTTTCCTTACCAAGTTTGTATTTTTTCTCTTTCTAATAATGGCTTCACTGAGATATAATTCACCTATATAAAGTGTACAATTCAACGGTTTTTAGTGATCAGAATCGTGCAACCAACATACAACCAATAAATATATAGTTTTATTTTTTTTTATTAATTTATGATAGTCACAGAGAGAGAGAGAGAGAGGCAGAGGGAGAAGCAGGCTCCATGCACCGGGAGCCCGACGTGGGACTCGATCCCGGGTCTCCAGGATCGCGCCCTGGGCCAAAGGCAGGCGCCAAACCGCTGCGCCGCCCAGGGATCCCTAAATATATATTTTTAAAGGTTTGTTAGAGAGAGGGACGGCCGGGTGGCTCCCGGTTGAGCACGGGCCTTTGGCTGAGGGCGTGATCCCGGGATCCTGGGATCGAGTCCCACGTCGGGCTCCCTGCGTGGAGCCTGCTCCTCCCTCTGCCTGTGTCTCTGCCTCTCTCTGTCTCTCACGAATAAATAAATACAATCTTTAAAAAAAACGATTTGTTAGAGCGCACACAAGCAGGAAGGGCAGAGGGAGAGGGGCAGAGTCTCAAGCAGACGCCCTGCTGAGTGTGGGGGGGCCGTGGGGCTGGATCTCAGCGCCCCGGGATCACGGGCTGCCCGAACCCAAGAGTCGATGCTGCTTCACCAGCTGAGCCCCCAGGGCCCCACACAACCACTGACGAGCGCCCCTCCTGTGGGTCGTGGGTCGGCAGAGCTGGTCCCTGGGCTGAGCGGCCTCGCTGCGCCCCGCGGGGCCCAGGCTCGCTCTCCCTCCAGCCCCGGGAGCCGCAGCCCGGCCTCCCGCCGCTCCTTACCGACCAGGGGCTTGAGCCGATTTGGGGGACGCTGGGCATCGGGCCCTGGGTCCCCGAGCTGCAGCAGGAGCTGGAGCTGCAGCAGGAGCTGGGCTCCGTGGAGCCGCGGCCCTTCAGGGCGCGCCCTCCCCCTGACGGGGTCCCCCCGCCCGGCCCCCAGGTCTACATGTTTCTGGTGAAGTGGCACGACCTGTCCGAGAAGGTGGTCTACCGGCGCTTCACCGAGATCTACGAGTTCCACGTGAGTGCGGGGTGGGGGTGGGGGTGGGCGTGCGCGGGGCGGCGCGGGGCGCGGCCGGGAGGGGCGGATGCCCAGGGAGGGCACTGCGCAGCAGGCCCAGCTGTGCCCCACCAGGGCGGGTGGCCCGGGTGCTGGCCAGCAAGTGGGGAGCCCAGGGCGCTCCAGCCCACAGCTGAGGGGGAGGGGACGTTATTTACTTCTCAACTGAAAAGGACATTTTCCTTAAAGTACGTTTTATTTTTAATTTAAATTCAATTCATTAACATAGTGTATTATTAATTTCAGAGGTAGAGTTCAGTGATTCATCAGTCGCATATCACACCCAGTGCTCATTCCATCCTGTGCCCTGCTCAATGCCCATCACCCGGTTACCCCATGCTCCCCTCCCGCCCCTCCAGTGACCCTATTTGTTTCATAGAGTTGAGAGTCTCTTATGGCTTGTCTCCCTCTCTGATTCCATCTTGTTTTATTTTTCCCTCCCTCCCCCTATGATACTGTTTTGTTTCTTAATTCACACATGAGTAAGATCACATGACAATTGTCTTTCTCTGACTTACTTCACTTAGCATAATACCCTTTAGTTCCATTTGCATCGTTGCATATGGTAAGATTTCCTTAAAGTACGTTTAAATGTGATAAAATACACATAACACGAATTTAGCATTTTAAGCACACAGTTCAGTGGCATGAGGTACATTCCCAATGTCTTGCAACTGTCACTATGGTCCAGCTCCAGGATAGTTTCATCTTCCCACACAGAGACTCTGTCCCCATTCAAGATAAACTTCAGGGGGTGTTAAGGGCCGTGCCTCCTCTGTCCTTGCAGGGGACAGCCTGGTTAGTGTCACCACCAGGTTGTCATCCCAGGAGCCAGCTCTTTGACTCATGGCCACTGGCCCAAAGAGGACCCTGGGCAGGTGAGAAGGCAGGGTGGCGATCCTGACACCCCAAGATTCAGGTTCTCTTGCTTTCTGAGCACCCGCTGTCAGCCAGATTGAATGAGATTCCCACAGGCTCTAAAACCCCATGGGGTTCCCCAGGCCAGACACAATAGAGACGGTCATTGGGGAGCATAGTGTGCAGAGTGTGGCTTTTGGTGGGTCTTGGTCTGAGACAGAATGTGGATGGAGGGTCCATCCACAAAGGCCTCTGTAAGCAGGGTAGTGAGTCCTGGAGTGGCGTGCCTTCCTGCACTTCTCCCATAAATTTTTTAAGTAGTCTCTATATCCAACATGGGGCTCAAACTCACAACCACAACTTCAAGAGTCTCATGCTCTACTGACTGAGCCAGCCAGGAGCCTGGGTGGCTCAGTCCATTCATTAAGCATCTGACTCGATCTCAGCTCAGGTCTTGATCAGAGGGTCTTTTTTTTTTTTTAAGAATTTATTTTTTTTAATTTTATTTATTTATGATAGTCACAGAGAGAGAGAGAGAGGCAGAGACATAGGCAGAGGGAGAAGCAGGCTCCATGCACCGGGAGCCCGACTTGGGATTCGATCCCGAGTCTCCAGGATTGCGCCCTGGGCCAAAGGCAGGCACTAAACCGCTGCGCCACCCAGGGATCCCGATCACAGGGTCTTAAGTTCACGTCCCGAGTTGGGTTCCGTGCTGGGCATGGGGGCTACTTAAAAAAAAAAAATTAGGTAAATGAGTAAATAAAAACAAAATGCAGATAAACATGAAGAAGACTATAAGCAGCCCTACACACCTAGGACTCTGAATCACAATTGATGTCACTATGCTGTTTGCTAGGAGGCTTTGTTTAGTTGTTTTTTGCTTTGTTTTGTTTTTATGTCAGCTCTACACCCAACGTGGGGCTTGAACTCACAACCCTGAGATCAAGAGTCACCTGCTTCATTGACTGAGCCGGCCAGGCCTCCCAAAGGCTTTTTTAAGATAAAGAAATAAAACACTACAAAGGAAGTAGAAAGCTCCCTTTATCCCATGCACTTGTGTCAGCTCCAGCCCTGGGGGACTGCATGCACACCTATGCACACGCACACACGCAAGTCCAAGCACAAGATGCAATAGTGTTAAGCAGTTAAGCATGCATTTTCCACAGCCTTTCTAGAAGTCCTCAGTATGCTGGCTGCCTCCTTCTCTGCCTTGTTACTGTCATTAGGTCAGTTTTTGAGACCTGTTCATGCTGATATATGCACGGCTCCATCTCTCCTCTTTACACTGTTCTGGGTTGTTCCATTGTCGGATTAGCTCCTTTTGCTAATTGGTGAACTCATTCATTCAACAACTATTCATCAAGCACCTACTAAGTGCCAGGTGCATTCTACTTGGTGCGTGGGAGATGCTCTGAAGGGGACAAGGGCATAAAAAAGATGCAAGTCCTTGCCCTCCCTTGTGGATCTTAAATTCTAGTAGAGGAGTCAGGATAACAGACAAATAAAACATAAGTAATTTATATAGTCTGTTAGGCAGTTATTTGAACTATGGAAAAAATTAATCAGTATGGGGAGGTGGACAGGAGGACTGAGTAAGGAGGGGAAATTGTCACGGAGATTTCACTGATGGGTAATATCTGAACAGTCTTTTTTTTTTTTTTAAGATCTTATTTATCCATTCATGAACGACACATAGAGAGAGGCAGAGACACAGGCAGAGGGAGAAACAGGCTCCTTGAAGAGAGCCCGATGTGGGACTCGATCCCGGGATCCCGGGATCATGCCCTGAGCCAAAGGGAGATGCTCAGCCGCTGAGCCACCCAGGCATCCCAGCAAAGTCTTGTAGAAGGAGAAAGAGAGAGGAAGTGCTATTAACAAATATAGGGAAGAATGGGAAGAGAAAGTGCAAAGGCCCTGGGGCTGGAGCAGGCCTGGAGTATTCGGGGGATGATTGGAGCAGAGTGAACAAGTGAGAAGAGGGTGGTGGCAGAGGAGGTGAGTGAGGCAGGCAGGATGGGTCTGGTCTGCACAGCCTTATAGACTAACGTGGAGCCTTTGGCTTCCATTCTGAGTGAGCTTAGAGGCAGGGAGGGGTTCTGAGCAGAGGAGAGACAGGATCCAATTTGAATGTGAAGATGGTGCTGGATTGAAGACAAAGGTGAAAGGCTGTTGTGATAACCTGGGCTCGGGGGAAGCACAGCCCGAGGTGGGGGCTGTGTGGGTAGTGAGAAGAGTTAGATTCTGGATAAATTTTAGGACTGGAACCAGAAGGACTTGCTGGTGGGAATGTAGGAGGAGAGAGAAAGAGAGAGCCAAGGATGGCACCAGCCCAAGGGATCAGGAGCATTGTTTCCAACCCTGTGCTTTTATGGGGTTGTAATAAAGGATCTTCCTCAATCCTTTCTTTTGTGTCTAGAAAATGTTAAAGGAAATGTTTCCTATCGAGGCAGGGGACATCAACCCAGAGAACAGGATCATCCCGCACCTGCCAGGTGAGGAGCAGGGTGGCCCGTCCTGGATCCCCTCACCTGCCCTGCGAGCTGCTCCTCCACCCCCATCCCCTCTGGGTCGTGACCTGGGACAATGCTCATGGCTTCTCGGTGTCCCTCCCCGGCCCGGCCAGCCCCCCGGTGGTTCGATGGGCAGCGGGCGGCCGAGAGTCGCCAGGGCACGCTCACCGAGTACTACAACACGCTCATGGGTCTACCTGTCAAGATCTCCCGCTGCCCCCAACTCCTCGACTTCTTTAGAGTGCGCCCCGACGACCTCAAGCTTCCCACGGACAGCCAGTGAGTGGCCCCCTCATTCTGTCCCCGAAGCGGGAGAGGGAAGGGGGTGGTGAGCTCGGCCTGGGGAGGGGGTGCAGGGCGTCCCCCATGTTACAGATGACTAAAGCTCAGAGGGGAAGCGACTCGCCCAAAGTCACACAGCCCCAAAGAGAAGGAGGCAGGATTCCGACTCTGGCCCGTGTGACTTGGAACCCCCTCCACAGCATCCCTGCCAAGTCTCCACCTGGAGCCCCTGAACCTCGGGGGAGGCTCTGTGGGCTGGGAGTCTGAGATCCCAGGTCCTTGTCCTCACCTTCCTTCTGAAAGCAGGTTCCCCACCTGTACCGGGTGGTAAGGGCCAGATGTCGTAATGGGTGCTGTGGAGAGTGCTTCCAAACTGTGAAGTGCGGAGCCCCAGCCGGGCTGGCGGGGTGGAGTGGGGTGTTGGTGGCAGGTGTTGAGCGCAGCACACCTCCGCTTTGTCACCTCATTGTCTGCCTGCCCGTTGGTCCAGGGCCCAGCATGGAAAGCATCTGAGAAGCTGAGTGAGGTCTCAGGGGAATGTGTTGTCCTGCTGGAGGCGGGCTGCAGAAGGTTCCTCTCTGTGTCCCTCTCTGCTCACTGAGTACAGAGTAGAGTGGGGCCTGGAGGACCGGCCACCGCGGACAGACACCAGTGCTTCGGCCTGAGTGGGCTGGCCCCTGAGCCCACCCCTGGCCCAGTGCCGGGTGGCACGGCTCCCATGGCCTGGGTGCTGGGGATGCCCCCTCCCTATGGCTCCCATGGCCTGGGTGGCAGGGATGCCCACTCCCGTTCGTTGGCCATACCCCTGAGGCCCCAGAAGGGAGCTAGCCTCCAAAGTAACAGGAGCCTTTCCCAGACCAGAGTGTTCTCTTCAGCACTTGGTTCCTTCTTTGGGTCCCCAGGTGGCTGGGGCGGGGGGGGGGGTGCTTTCTTTGTTAGTCCCATTGCTCCCTTCCCCCAGCAGTGACCCCCACATCCCAGGTTCCTTTTTCTTCTGGGAAGTTCTTCTGTAGGTCTGCCCAGAGCTTCTGCACCCCCCGCAGGAAGCTGAGCACCTCACCCAGATTCTTCTTTCCTGTAGGGTGAAAAAGCCAGAGACCTACTTGGTGCCCAAAGACGGCAAGAGCAATGTCACGGGTGAGAGGCGGGGGCAGCTAGCTGTAGGTCACCCTGCGGGGGCTGGGGACATGATCGGGGTTCCTGAGCAGAGGCTGTGCAGCCAAGGCCAGGGCAGGGGGTCCTCAGTGGCTGCACTAAAGCCTGCAGTCCAGTGGGGGCGGCCACTGGACAGTGAAGCTTTCAGAGCTCATGTCTGAAGCTTTCAGAGCTCATGTCTGAAGCCCAGCATGATCCCAGCTCCCTATAGCCAGGGGGGTCCTGGCTGACTGAATAGACAGGTCTGGGGGTGAAGGTGGTCATCAGGGGTCACGCAGAGGCCTGACAGTATCTGATCTGTATTGCATGATAATTGTTAATAATACAACCTGACATTTATCGAGAACTTACTCTGTCCCAGGCACTATTTATTTATTTATTCATTCATTCATTCATTCATTCATTATTCATTCATTTAAGATTCCTTTATTTATTTATTTGAGAGAGAGCAGAGCAAGTGAGAACACGAGTGGTGTGGAGGAGAAGCAGAGGGAGCAGTGGTAAGAGGGAGAAGCAGGCTCCCTACTGAGCAGGGAGCCTGACATGGGGCTCTCTCCTAGGACCCAGGATCATGACCGGAGCTGAAGGCAGATGCTCAACCTACTGAGCCCCCCCAGGTGCTCCCAGACACTATTTTAATGTCTTGCATGTATTAACACATGCAATTATCTCTATAACAATATGAAGTAGGGACCAGAGTGCTATTATCCCCATTTTACAGCTGGACACACTGAGGCTTGATTTAAGTTGAAACTCGGGTCAATGGGACGTCTGGGTGGCTCAGCGGTTGAGCGCCTGCCTTCGGCCCAGGGCGTGACCCTGGAGTCCCAGGATCGAGTCCCACATCAAGCTTCCTGCGTGGAGCCTGCTTCTCCCTCTGCCTGTGTTTCTGCCCCTCTCTCTCTGTGTGTGTCTCTCATGAATAAATAAATGAAATCTTAAAAAAAAAAAAAAAAAAAAAAGAAACTCAGGTCAAGGGCCACACAGACATGAAAGGTGGAACAGGATCTCAACCAGTCAGTGGGATGCCGGGACGGGTGCCATGGGCCAATCAGTGTGGTCCAGGGACCAGCAGTGTCTTAGTCTGTGTGGGCCGCCATATAACAACCACAGACTGGGGGTGGGGGTTTAAACAGCAGAAATGTATTTTCTCACAGTTCTGGAGGCTGGGAGTCTGCTGCGATCAGGGTGTGGGCAGGGTTGGCTCTGTGGAGGCGTCTCCGTGGTGTACAGACGGCTGCCTCCTTGCTGTGCCCACACATGGCCTTTCCCCCGTGCACGTACTCCTGCTGGTGTCTCCTCCTCATCCTATGAGGACGCCAGTCCTATGGGGTGAGGGCCCCACCCTTATGACCTCCTTAAAGGCTCTAACTCCAAATACAGATTCTAAGGTACTGGGGCTTAGGGCTTCAACATGGGAATTTTGGGGGAGGGGAAAAGATGTATTTCAGTACATAACATGCAGTTGCATGACCTGGGGGCTGGTTAGACATGAAGATGCTCAGGTCCCACTGCAGACCTCTGGAATCAGAACCTGCCCTCCAGCGGGATCCCTGGATGATTTGTGTGCACATTAAGGTCCGGGAGGGCTGCTCCCTAACCTCATCAAGTGAGAAGGAGCATGTGTAAGGTGCATGACTAGTGTCTGGAACACACTAGGTGCTCAATAAATGCAGGGCTGTGAAGACGAGCTTGTTTCTGCTGCTTTCTTGTTGGCAGGGGGCGTCCACCTCCTGTGCGCCTGGCTGGGTGGAGACGGGAACCCAGCGCCAGTTCTGGAAGCCTGAGCGGGGGACTGCCAGGAGGAGGCAGCCCATCCCCTCACTGTCCACTCACCCTGCTCTCCCTCCGTCCAGACATCACAGGCCCCATCATCCTGCAGACGTACCGTGCCATTGCTGACTTCGAGAAGACCTCGAGCTCCCAGATGGCTCTGGCCACGGGTGACGTGGTGGACGTCGTAGAGAAGAGTGAGAGTGGTCAGTGTCCCTGCCCTGCTGGGGCCTTCCTCCCCTGTGCCTGCGTCCACGGCCTCAAGCCCCTGATCAAGGCTCTGTCCCTCAGACAGCCTCGGGCTCCCTCCCCACCCCGTCCCCTATGGGCTGTGGCCCCTTCTGTCCTCCCCACTCTGGTGCACCCCCACCCCCGGGGAGACTGCGGGCATCTGTGCATCTCCGGATTATGTCCCAGTGGCCAGGCCAGCTTCTGGGCATGATGTGTGGGAAGCAGCTTCTGAGCTGGAATCCTGGGACTTGTGTGTGTGTCTGTATGTGATTTTGGTATTTATTTATTTATTTATTTATTTATTTATTTATTTATTTATTTATTTATTTATTTATTTGTATGTGATTTTCGCGTGGAGTGTGTGAAGGTAACATTTCTGAATCACAGTGGTGGATGTCTGTGTGTCCTTGTCCGGGAGTCCTCACCACCCTGGTAGCTGGGGGAGGCTTCGAGGCCTGCCCAGACTTACTGCCTCACCCCCCACTTCCCCACCCAGGCTGGTGGTTCTGCCAAACGAAGACAAAGCGAGGTTGGGTCCCAGCGTCCTACTTGGAGCCCTTGGACAGTCCTGATGAGGCAGAGGACCCAGAGCCCAACTACGAAGGTGCCACCTGCCCTCCTTGGCCATAGGATGTGGGGGAAGGGACTGGAGGGGCCCTGAGATATTGAGAAGTGGCCACTTTGGGGTTGGATATGGTTGTGGGCTGGGCAGTGGAGTCAGGGTAGAGACCCCATAGTCTGCCTTGAGGGGCTCAGGTAGCAGGTGATGCCCTTGGTCAGGACAGAGAACCAGGAGGTAGGGTAGAGGCGAGGGCGATGAGGTCCGCCTGAGATACGTAGGGGTCCCTCCCGGGTGTATGAGGTTCAGGAAGGAGCACTGCCTGGAGGCGGAGGAATCCTCGCTGACTGGAAGCGGAGAACTGGCAGTTAGTCCCCAGGTCCCCTAGATGGGGCTCACGTGGAGGTCGAAATAAATTAGAGTTGATTGCCCATATATTACAATGGAGAGATTTGACAATTGTCTGCGGGCTTATGGCATCTCTGGAAAAACTGGAAACGGTGTGTACACACGCTGCAGTCAAGTGGCTCAGGTGCCACGTGGATGGGTGCTCTACACCTGCACCCCTTGCCTGGCCACTCCTCCTGTTTAGGTGCCTGGCTCCTGGTGTGGATGGTGGGAGTGGGATGGGCGGGCTCCCCTGGGTGTAATGGGCAGAGGGCAGAACTCCAGGGTGCTCCACGAGTGGGTGGCAGGAGCCTGCAGAGGGAGACCAGCAAGGAGCAGGCAGGGAAGAGGGTGGTCCTGGGCTCTAGCTGGAGGAAGCCTCAGGCTCAGAAAGAAGAGAAGGGGAAGGGAGGCAGGCCAGTGCCAGGCGGACCATCACACCGCACTCCTGTCCCCACGGCCAACCAGGTGAGCCCTATGTCACCATCAAAGCCTATACTGCCGAGATGGAGGATGAAATGTCCCTGCAGGAAGGTGAAGCCATCGAAGTCATTCATAAGCTCCTGGATGGTTGGTGGGTCGTCAGGTAGGAGAGTGCCCCTCCCACCCTGAGTGTCAGCCCTGGCCTGGAGCATGGTCTGTTTGGGCTCAGTGCTGACCCCGGGTGTGGCTCTGGGTAGACCACCACCTCTCTCTGGACTGTTTCTACTTTGGTAGCAGATCAGTGATTATCCCACCACAACCTGTCTCTCAGGGTTCAGTATCCTTGCCTGAGTGGGTACCTTTTTCCTTTGTGATTTGGGGTCACTTCGCCATCTATTATTCCCTCTACAACACAGTTAATTGTTGTGTTAATTATTCTATTTGAGAACTGTCATCCCTTCTCCTTTTAAATGTTTTGTTGTAATTGATTCTTATCTGGTTGTTCCTCTTGGGCAAAGCAGAACCCTGGTGGCTTCTAGAGCTATCTCCTTGGACCTGCTGGGCCTCCCCCGGTCCTTGTACACCCTCTCAGTCCCAGTGAGCCTGTGGCCAAAGCATCCGCCATCAACTTGGCTCTGGGCTGGGGGCTCAGAGGCAGGAATTCTCAACCTTTTTGACTCTCACTTGATTTAACTGCCCATCCTGCACCCCTGAGAATCTGCCTGTGATTTTCCCACCAGCCAAGAAGAATCAGAGTTTTACCAAGCATGCTTTGTAATATGCCAAGTTTTTTCTCCCAAATTAGAGTAGTGAGAATGGAGAGAAAATTCTTTTCAACAAGTGGTGCTGGAACTGGAACCAGTGGGCATCCACATGGAGGGAAGTCTCATAGACCCCTACCTCACGCCATGCATATTTCTTCAGGATGCGTCATGGATTTGACCAAGCACAAAACCCCAAACTAAAGAGCTTTCGGAAGAAAGCATAGGGGAACTTGGTGACCCGGAGGTAGGCAAAGGTATTTTAGACACAGAAAGCAGTGGCTGTAAAGGGAAAAAAACAAAACCCTGATAAACACCCTGTTGCAAATGTTTTACTGCAAACCCATGTCCCCAGGGTCAAGTTGGACCTGCTAACTTCCTAGCACCACCAACATCGTGGCTGAGGGGGCCTATGTTGCTTGGATGGAAGAACTGAGGCCCAGAGGGACAGGGTCTGGTGTCAGCCAGGCTTATGGGCGTCTCCCAGTTCCAGCTGCCTTAACCCCCACTGTTTAGAGGGATCTCGGAGCCCCCCTCACCTGAGGCCCCTACTCCCCGTGTGACCGCCAGGGCTTCAAGGACTGCCTCTGTTGCAGGAAAGACGACATCACCGGCTACTTCCCATCCATGTACCTACAGAAGTCCGGGCAGGATGCTGCCCAGGCACATCGCCAGATCAAGAGCCGAGGGGCCCCGCCCCGCAGGTGAGCGAGGGTCCCCAGGCTGGAAGGGGCTGAGGGTACCACGAGGGTGTACCACGGCCCCTCTGTGGGCCCAGGCCCTGGATTGGCAGTGCTGGGGGCGGGGGGCAGGGGTCTTCAGCGGGCGGGGCTGGCGCGGGGCGGTGGGAACGCAGGGGTGTGAGGTGTCCTTGGGGGCGGCCGTGACGACTGCGGCAGTTCAGGGGGCTTCCTGGGGAGGGGCCGGGCTCAGCCTGGCGAGGGGCGTGGGACCCGGGCCTGGGCTCTGCCGCCCGGCAGAAGTCCGCGTTGTTGCGGGGCAGCTGCACGCCTGCCCCGCTCCCCAAGACCCCAGGGCCGGTCTTGCGAGTCCCCGCAGGCAGGGGACACGGGCGCGGCGGGGATAGCCAGGCGCTGAGCAACGCCCCCGTCCCGCTGGGCCCAGGTCGTCCATCCGCAACGCGCACAGCATCCACCAGCGATCGCGGAAGCGCCTCAGCCAGGACACCTATCGGCGCAACAGCGTCCGTTTTCTGCAGCAGCGCCGCCGTCCGGCGCGGCCCGGACCGCAAAGCCCAGGGAGCCCGAGAGGTGAGAGCCCGCAGCGGCCTGGGGCGGGGCCTGGATGGGGGCGGGGCCGGGGCGGGGCCAGGAGCAGTCCTGGCCGCAAAGCCCGGGGAGCCCGCGAGGTGAGAGCCCGCAGCGGCCTGGGGGCGGGGCCTGGATGGGGGCGGGGCCGGGGCGGGGCCAGGAGCAGCCCTGGCCGCAAAGCCCAGGGAGCCCCCGAGGTGAGAGCCCGCAGCGGCCTGGGGGCGGGGCCGGGATGGGGCGGGGCCGGGGCGGGGCCAGGAGCAGCCCTGGCCGCAAAGCCCAGGGAGCCCGCGAGGTGAGAGCCCGCAGCGGCCTGGGGGCGGGGCCTGGATGGGGGCGGGGCCGGGGCGGGGCCAGGAGCAGTCCCTGGCCGCAAAGCCCAGGGAGCCCCCGAGGTGAGAGCCCGCAGCGGCCTGGGGGCGGGGCCTGGATGGGAGCGGGGCAGGGGCGGGGCCAGGAGCAGTCCTGGCCGCAAAGCCCAGGGAGCCCGCGAGGTGAGAGCCCGCAGCGGCCTGGGGGCGGGGCCTGGATGGGGGCGGGGCAGGGGCGGGGCCAGGAGCAGTCCTGGCCGCAAAGCCCAGGGAGCCCCCGAGGTGAGAGCCCGCAGCGGCCTGGGGCGGGGCCTGGATGGGGGCGGGGCAGGGGCGGGGCCAGGAGCAGTCCTGGCCGCAAAGCCCAGGGAGCCCGCGAGGTGAGAGCCCGCAGCGGCCTGGGGGCGGGGCCTGGATGGGGCGGGGCAGGGGCGGGGCCAGGAGCAGTCCTGGCCGCAAAGCCCAGGGAGCCCGCGAGGTGAGAGCCCGCAGCGGCCTGGGGGCGGGGCCTGGATGGGGGCGGGGCAGGGGCGGGGCCAGGAGCAGTCCTGGCCGCAAAGCCCAGGGAGCCCGCGAGGTGAGAGCCCGCAGCGGCCTGGGGGCGGGGCCTGGATGGGAGCGGGGCAGGGGCGGGGCCAGGAGCAGTCCTGGCCGCAAAGCCCAGGGAGCCCGCGAGGTGAGAGCCCGCAGCGGCCTGGGGGCGGGGCTGCCTGGGGCGGGGCTGCCTGGGGCGGGGCTGCCCGGGGCGGGGCCTCTCACCCGGCCGCGCTTTCCGCCGCAGGGGAGCAGCCAGCGACCCAGCCCGCGAAGCCACAGCCCGCGGTGCCCCCGCGGCCCAGCGCAGACCTTATCCTGCACCGATGCAGCGAGAGCACCAAGCGGAAGCTGGCGTCTTCCGTCTGAGGCCGGGTCGCCGCCCCTAGATGGCGTCCTAGCCCCTCCGCCCTGTCGGGTCCCATTCCTGTATATACGTGTATAGATCCGGAGGTCCGGATGCCTCTGGCAGCCCCGGCCCCGCCCCACCTAACGGCTCGCCGCTCAGAGTAAATGCTGTTTGGAGTGGACAGAGGCTCTGCAGAGCAGCCGGGCGGGCTGGGCTGGGCACGCCTTTGGGGATATTTATAAAATAAGGACTGAGGGCTGTGAGTTCTGCTGGGGCGGGAGGTTGGGGAAGTTGCAAGAACCAAGGTCCGGTCGCACTCTGCCCTGGCCTTGGCCGAGACTAAGTTTGCACGGGGCCAAGTGCACCGTTCCCCCCTGCCCCCCCACTGCTGGCTGTTTGGACAGAAGCTGCCTGCTAAAACTTTGGTACCACTGCAGAAGAGTCCTAAAGAAGGGTGCCACAGTGTGCAGGGTGTGCACCTTAGTTCGGTGAGAAATAAAATTGGTAATTTAGGTATACGGAGGGAGCACCTCTGATTTATTCACTGAAAGGCTGCCCAGTTAGGAGGTTGTACCAGAAAGCAATTATTCATTGATGAACAGACCCTCATCGCCCCCACAAGCAACTGCTGCCAGCCTTTGGCCTCAAAGTCTTTGCTGGTGGATCTTTTGCAAAATGCAAAGACACCAGGGTGCAGCCCGGAGCTGCAAATCTTACAAAAGCAGCCGCTTATCAGGAAGGCAGCTGCCCCTCCTGTGTGGGAGGTGACACAAGAGGATGGGAGAGGCTGGTCCCTTGGAGGGGGGGGGGGCTGATGCTTCTCAAGAGAACAACTTGAGGGTCACAACAACTGAAAGAGACCTTGAGAAGGTCACTGGGCCCTTTATTTGCATTTTTGCAGACTTGGTTTGCTGGAAAAGTCCAGCCCATCAAGTGCTATCATGCAAAGCTGTGGGAGAATTAACCACTGAGAATCCCAATCCCTTTGCTTGTTCAGTTGCAATTAAAATAAAAAACTGTGTAAGATAAAATCTTGTTTAATTTTTAGTTTCATTTTTTTTCCAAGCTAAAGTCCTGATCAAACGTTTTCTTCACATTTTTCTGTATTTCTGGTCCCCTGGAGATGGCCTTGTGCTGGTCCCTGTTGCATGCCTGCCCAGCACTCTCCATTGGCTTCTGGAAATGCTGCGTCTGAGTTACACACACACTGTAGCCAGTTTTCTTAAGGCCAGGCATAATGCTGGGCTCTTTCTTTCATTGTTTCTGGTTCTGAGAACAACCCTGTCAGGTAGGTTTATGGAGGAGGAAACCAAGCCTCAGAAAACATAAGCAATTTTTTTAGGGTAATATGACAGAGCCGGGAGGTGGAGTCAGGCTTTTCTTTCTGATTCCAAAGCCTTACTGGATCCATTATATTCTCCTGACCCTACAGAACTCCTGGTTTGTGGCTCAGTCCTAGTGGAAGATGCTGTGGCCAAGGGACACTCAGAGGAGGGAGGTGACGTGGGCCTGGCCTCCAGAACTCCAAGCCCCCAACCCCAGGCCTGTGTTGGAGGAGTGGCCAGGGTCCTCTGCCCACCTTGGAATGGGAAGACAGGGCCTCGGGAGAGTTGCACTGTACCCTTTGCCCCTAGGAACTGATGGGGACCACCAAATCCAGTCCCTGGCTCCTGGGCTGGGCCCCACCACCATGCTCCTGTGCTCTCATTTGCAGACACCCCATCAATCCACGACCCCAGAAAACCACCTGCTCGTTCAGTCAGTTTTCCTAGGCTTGGCTCAGTCCACATGAGTGAAACCACTGGGGTCCCAACACACATGCAGGGTAGAGAAGGAAGCCAGGGGTCGTAGGCGTTGAACAGCCCATGAGCTGGGGCTGAAGCATCAGCCCCCTGTAGTCAACAGCCCAAAGCTGGAAGTCTAGTCCAGTCCAGCCACAGAAGGCAGCCCAGGCTGAGCCCGGCTGTCCCCTCAGCATCACCTGATGGGCTAACCACTGGAAAGCCACACACGACAGCCACCTGTCATGGAACAACTTGGGAGTCACACAGACCTAGTCTGAACCCTGACCACTTCTCTGCTGTGTCACCTTGGCAGGTCACTTAATCACTCTGAGCCCTAGCTGCTGATTTATAACACGAGGGGGCTGACCCTTTCCTGCAGGGTCCACCTGACACCTGCTCAGGTAGGTACTCCAGGGGCAGGTCCCCCGACCCTGTTGTAAACCAGCCCCTTCCTCCCCCCAGGAAGTGAGCCGCTGAACTAGCCAGACCCAGCAGCACTGCAGTTAACTGCCCAACAACAGGAACTGCCAGGGTTGGGTCATTCTCCCTCTGTCTGGGGACATGCATCTGGGCTCCAGGCGGGGGCTGGAGGAAATGGCCTGGAGGTTGGTCTCTCTCCTGCAGCCTCCCTTCATTTTAATCCACTTGTCTATTGCTTCCTTTTTATTTTTTATTTTTTTATTGCTTCCTTTTAAAAAAAATAATTTTATTTATTCATGAGAGACAGAGAGAGAGAGAGAGGCAGAGACACAGGCAGAGGGAGAAGCAGGCTCCATGCAGGGAGCCTGATGTGGGACTCAATCCTGGGACTCTAGTATCATGCCCTGGGCCAAAGGCAGGCGCTAAACCACCGAACCACCCAGGGATCCCCCTGTCCACTGCTTCCTGAATGGGTCATCACCAGGTCAGGATCATAATTCCTCTAGTCTGGAAAGTAGCCACAACTGGGGCATCACTAATTCTAGTACCTAATAGGGATTAAGAACACATTGTGTGTGTGTGTGTGTGTGTGCGCGCGCGCGCACGCGCATGCGAGCTTTCTACGCCAACTCTCCGGGGTTAAATGCTATATAGGAAAGGACATCAGGACAGTCCAAAGGACTGTCCCCAGCCTGCAAACACGTTAGATCACAAGGGGTACCATCCACAGTCAATGAGGTCAAAGCAACACATCACCATTCAATTCACTGGAGCTAATCACTAAGTCATGGTTAGGTAATAGCATATCCCTATTCTTGGAAAATATTCCCTTAAGTACTCTGGGGTAAATGATGTATGTAACCCCTTCAGACGGTTCAGGAAAAACATTAGGCACATACATTTATACACACGTTAGAGACACTCAGACACTCGTGTATACACACTTATAGGCAACGTACACACAAACGTGCGCGCATGTGCGCACATGTGCGAGAGAAAGAGAGTGAGTGAGCAAGGGAGCCCCCAGGCAAACAACTGATAAAGCACAGGGGTCAAATTTCAACAATATGACAATCTGGCAAGAGGACGTGTAAGTGTTCTTCATACCATTCTCATTTCTGCAACTTCTTTGTAAACTTGAAATTATTTCAAAATACAATTTATCTATTTTTTAAGTCATCACTGTACCCACTGTGGGGCTCGAACTCACCACCCAGAGATCAAGAGTAGGATGCTCTACAAATTGAGCCATCCAGGCACCCCTCAAAATAAAGTTTACCAACAAACAAAAACAAAAAAACAACCTGCAAACCTCAGCTTCCTTGGCCTTTGAAAGGCCATGTTGTTATCTGTGGTTTTCCATTTTTAACTCCTACCTTTGTGGGTCGGCGTGGAGGTAGAGACAGGTCACTCAGGAGTACTATGATATGTGAATGTGTCTCCATGGGACTATTCCCAAGCTTGCAAACCTGTTAGACCACAAGGGACATCACACAAAAAGTGGGGAGATAGATGTGTGTGCAGTTATACCACTCCACAAATGCACACATCTCTGTTTCTCTGTTGACTGATTTTTTTTATCTTTTTATTTATTTAAAGATTTTATTTATTTATTTATGAGAGACACAGAGAGAGGCAAAGACATAGGCAGAGGCAGAAGCAGGCAGGGAACCGATGCGGGACTTGATCCCAGGTCCCTGATATCATGACCTGAATTGAAGGCAGATGCTCAAACACAAATAGGTGCCCTTATTTATTTTTAAAGATTTTATTTATTTCAGAGAGATAGCATGAGCGGGGGTGTGGGGGAGTGGCAGGAGAGGGAGAAGCAGACTCCCCAGTGAGCAGGGAGCCTGATGTGGGACTCGATCCCAGGATCCCAGGATCACACCTGAGCCGAAGGCAGATGCTCAACCACTGAGCCACCCAGGCGTCCCTCTGTTGACTGATCTAAAACATCAGTGTGCTGGACTCAGTGCCGCCAGGGGTGAGTGAAACCCGCCAGCTGTAAGGAAAAGCACCACCAGAAATACAATAAAACCGTCTTGATCTTTACTGGATTACGGTGAGGCATAAAATGTCATACAAACAGGTAGGATACTGCAAGTAACGTTTCCAAGTCAAAGTGGAAAACACTGGAAAAGAGAAAGGTTTTATAGCTCGTCTTCTCATGGTGCCATCCCTTGGGCCCAGAGGATTCTAGTCTTGTGCCTCGACTCGGGGTGTGGCCGGGCACGTGTCCTAAGTCACGTTGCGATGTGGAGCATGGAATCCCACTGCGAGTCCTTTAACTGGGAGCAATATTTTGTTTTGCTCAGTTTCATGATGGAAAACAGCTGTTCGCAAATGTAGGTGCTCCCGAACATGGAGAGAATCTTCGCGCAGTGGACTCTGTACTTGGGGTAGCTGCTCCACAGGTATTTGTAGAACTCGGGGACCCCGACCTTGTCATACTTAGCCTTCAGCACCGTGTTGCACTGCAGGTCGATGACCTCCATCTGGAGCGCTTCATGCACACTCTCGATCTTCATGGAGAAAGGGGAGCTGAACAGGGCCAGTTCGCTTTCGTAGAGTTTGAAATCAGACAACCTTTTCTGGAATTCCGTCTTCAGTTCCACGATCTTGGGAATGTAGTTCAGGCCGTCGCTTTCATTTCTGGAAACTGACTTCAGCGTGGGGAAGTGGGCCAAGTTATTCCTGGCCAAGTGAGTCTCCCAGAGGCACAGTTTGGCTAGGAATGCCCGGATCAAGTCGTACATCTGTGTCACGACCTGGGAGTGCCCTTGGAGGGAGATGTTCAAAGTGTTCAGGTGCATTGTCATATCAACCAAGAAGGCCAAGTCTCTGATCCAATCTTGAGAGCTCAGCTGAGGCAGGGGCTTTCCTCTGGATGACATGAAGGAATCAATTTCTTCCAACGATTCAAAAAATCTCTTGAGCACCAGCCCGCGACTGAGCCACTTGATCTCGGTGTAGTACAGCAGACTGCCGTACTGACTGTCCAGTTCATAGAGCAAAGTGGTGAACTCACTGTGGTTCAGTCCACGGGAGCATATCCAGTTCACGGAATTCACCACCACACTCATGACGTGCTCCATCTTCAACTTTTGCGCACATAGAGATTCCGGGTGAATGATGCAACAGACCGACTTCAGATCCGAGTCCTTGCAAACCATCGCCACCTTGGATTTAAGTTTTGTGACCAATCCGTCATTCGCATCTACCATTGCGGGGGTGCCGGTAGAGGCCACACTGACCAGTTTGGACCAATCGATGTTAAACCTCTTAAGACTTTTCTCCACACGCAAAAATATCTCGTTGCCAGATTTTGTGCCCGTCATGGGCACCGTATCCAAAAGCTCTTCTGACACGTCAAAATTCTCATCCACACCACGGATGAATATGGCCAGCTGGGTGGTATTATTTATATCCGTGATCTCATCAATTGCAATAGAGTATGCCACAAACGACTTGATTTTTTCGCGTAACTTCTCCCATAAGCTCCCAGCCACATCCTCTACGGGCTGCACAGCCACACTGTCATTTGGACTCACGTCTGCAAACACCTGTTTCTGCTCAGGACCCACAATTTCTGATGATCCCAAGAGGTACCTTCTGAGCCCTTTCTTTAGCTCATGGAGCTTCTCGTCTCGCATCTTCTCCGTATACTGGTCGTAGTGCTTACTGTGATTTGTTTGATAATGACGCCTGAGGTTGTACTCTTTGGACACAGACATGCTCTGTTTGCATATTAAACACGTAGGGATATTC